AACACTATATCTTTTTCATACCTTAAAAAAGGTTAATAAATTTACATCTCAATTTTCTTTTTCCACTTATAACGAACTTACCTTTAATTGGTAACTCTTTGTTCCAAAAATATTATTGAAAGAGGCACAGGTCCCCTCTCCCCCCCCCCAAAAAAAATTTATTTTATTTAAAATTAAAGTTACTAATTATTTAGCTAGAAAATACTTTAAAAAAATGGTTAGCTAACTGGATTTCTCTAAGAAGTCTTTCATTTAATGACTTATTTTCTACGAATACAATATATCTCATTCAATAATTCATAAAATTTGAGGAATTTATTTTGGATTTGAATAGTTATTTCACTCTAACAGGGTTAAATGAAAAATACACATCTTAATTCCTAAACATTTCCACCTAAAAGATTACGCACTGAAGGGGGGATTACACCGAAGTACTGACCTACATAATCATTTAGTGCACATGAATCTTTTAGATCCTATGACAGTTTTATATCACATATTAGAGGTCCTCTTTTCTTTTATAATTAATACACATCAGAATGAATGACATATATCTGCACACTCTCGTCTTTTATCAACGCTAGCAAATGATTGATAAGCAATGTGGGGAAACCTGAATCAGAAATGCAGTTATTGTAACAATCTTTACAACAGTTTTTCAGTTTTAGTGAAAAAACAGAGAAGTATGTATAACCAATTCTAACTCCATTACTGTCATATCCACAAAGGATATTACAAAATATTATACATTTATTTCTTAAGCTTATTACACAGCTTAGCCACAATACCCATACTTCATGAATGTGTATATTTTCCTTAGAAACTAATTCAGATAAGAGTTCATTTTGCCAAATGTTGAGGCAAACGGTTCAAAATCCTACTTTACCTTCATTTATTTAATTTATCTAAATTGTCAAAGCAGTCAAAATAATTAAACTCAGGATAGCCTGAAGTTTCCAAGCTTACAGAACTGAATACATGAAGCCCATTAAATACTTAGAGAAATAAATCCATCATGGGCATTAAAATGCGTTAAACACTGCGCTTCTGTAAACAAAAAAGCGCTTGCAAAAAGCTCTTCAGCTCAAAATACCAATAATAAAAATCTATCAGATTAGCAATTTTTGACAGATTTTTAACAATCAATCACCCTACAAAATCATTGCTATTTACCAAAATACTATTGTAACAGAATTAATTAAATTTATTAAATCCTAAGAGACCGTGTAGGCCTTTGAAATGTGTTAACAAAACCTTCGGAAACTCAGATGTTAACATTTAAAAACTGATCTCTTCTTTTCCGTTTTCGCTTTCTTATGTCCACTCCTCCCGAGAGCAAGTGAATTTCCTCGTAAATTATTTACTATTACGGATAAAGAAAAGAAAGAGAAATAAAGAGGCGTGCAGACGGTGATATAATTATCACAGTTATCATAGTCAAAAGTCATTAATTCCGTTCACCTTTGTGGAACAGGGTTTTCATTCGTACCTAGGGTTGCGCTCGCGTGGATTTGCCACTGATTCAGCGAACTCATCGACCGGATGTCAGTTCGTGTTTACTTCGTTGTAATTGGTCGGTTGTTATATACTACAGGCATAAAGTTAAATAATTAGAATACTCAGACAAAATCCGTGAGGTACAACAGCTGGCTGCCTAGTTACGGAGGTTCGGTTTATGCTGCTTGTGACCATATAGCCATCATCTGAACAATCCCTGAATTTACTAGTTGCACCATATCACAGCTGGGCCCACCAGCGGCCAAGCCGCTGAGTACTCGTAGTTCGACCTGTGTTTAATTCAGGCAAAGGGGCTGGCTGCAGGGCCGTTTTCGCGGTTTTCCTCGTGTGTAACGTAGATATTTGCAAGCATTATTTAAAAAGTCCTCCACGAAGACATCCATTCCCTTAGGCAGGTAACCTTCGTGTGCTTGCCATAATTAAATAATTAATCAATCATATCACAGCTGATTTACTGAACAATTATCTTTGTGAACGATCACAGTTCTGACATAACAGCGGAAATGACAGACTTGCCTCAAAGGTTCAGAAAATAAATAAAGAAACAAACATATAAATAAAACATAATTAATAATATATATTAATGTGAAAGTTAATAAGAGGCGCGAATTTATTCCAATGTTCGAAATTTATTACGAATTTTAAAATACGTTGGCATAGGTCAGGGTGGGACCACTTAAGGGATTTATGGAGGTTCGCTGAGAACATAGAATTCTGAGAATCACCAATATTTTCGGCAAGAATTGTAAGTGAGTGAAGCAAACGGGGAAACCAGTGACAGTTGGTTTGTTTGCATTCACACAAAATTTTGAATTCTAAATTAAAGAGAGTGTAATTTAATATCCTAGCATTTAGTAGCAGTTCAGAAAAAACTAAAAGTTTTAACTGAATTGTGGTTATTCTTTGTCGAGGTAATTTAGTATAAAAATCAAACTAGCATCGTATCATTTACACAACATACAGTACAACTACAGAAGGAACTTCCAAAACATTTAATAAATACTAGCAATTTTGCTTCATAAATATGTAATAACATGATTATATCGAAGCAGATTGGTTTTATGTCATGAATTCCCAACCTTGACGGGCATCATGCTGCAAACCGTGCGCTCCCCCCCCCCGAAAAAAATGTTCTCATGTTGGCACTTGAAGAACATGAAAAATTTGCGGGTATTTTGAAAAAGGTTCATGGTTTTTGAAACCATGTTATCTCCATACTTTGGCAGGACACTGAAATATGTAAGCAAACTGTTAAGAGTATTTGGATAAATAAACTGTCCGAAATCAATGACATCAGAGTTTTTGAAGTATGGCTATAATTACCTATAAAAATCAAGATAGCTCCTACGTTAAAAATTTTCCACAATAACACTTGGAAAATTTTATTTCCGAGCGTTGTTTTGGAAGATGAAGATTTCATCATCACTTCAGATAAAACTTACTTATTTCCATATCACTCGCTTAAAATTTCAGAAGTTCGTACTTTATGGTTTTTGTGCATATACAGGCCAATTCTGGATTATCTGTGCACATCGTTGCTGTAATTAGCACGGATAATCAATCAGGAATTCAGTGCATTTCAGTTGAATTTAGCTACTTGCTTTATGTTTTCATTAAAGGAACAGCAATTTTTTTCACAAAACATCACATTTTCTTAATCTTGATGCACTAAAGAACTTTCCAATTTACGCATATCTTATATCTGGTCTCTTCAAAGGGCTGAGATAGTGCAGGAATAACTGCATCTTTCCCGAGCACAATGACAAGCTCCTCGATCAAGTGGCGCCAAACTTTGAAAATGAATGCAGTTAGTGAAGGGGGAAGGAAACAGGGGTTGGGGGAATTTACCCGTCTTCTGGCTGCAGTACTAAAAGTGAATCACTTCAGTCATTGATGTCGCATTAAGAAGGCTAAGTGAAGAATTGTGGTCGACCGGCACATCAAATATTCAGCGCACAGAACACCGGTGAATGACGATTATTAGCATCCACGGCATGAAAGTTTAAACGCCAGGCGAACAATACGGGGACTCTCTCATTAACGGCAGGGGCTCAGAGGCCAATTAAATAACACCCAAGAACGCAGAGAGCCATTTTCCACTATATGGCCATTACCGTATGGGTTGCCACCCTTTGTTTCCGAAAGAGGGGGGAAAACAGTACAGTGATCAATCGCAAAAGCTTCGATTCGAGTATTGGCTACCCACCGTTTCTTCTTAACGCTAAAAGAGATGCAGTGATTCATTTTAAAAAGATTTACTCTTTCGCGTTTATTTTCCTTTTGAAAATTTTATACCCCTTTTGGTTCTGAAGGAAATTATAATAAACATTCCGCCAATTTCTTTATCTGCCTGAAAAGTGAAACAAAGAAATAGATATTTACTATAAATATCCGTAAAGTATCCCCCCTTACGTAAAACTCTTCATATCAAACAGACTAACATAGATCCCAGCAGCTTAGTACCACACAAAAGTTCGATTTATTAAAAATAAATATGGATATATTTATATTATTCAATTGCATTTTATTTATGTAAATCATAATCTTCTGAACTAATCTGAATCTACTAAAATATTAAAATAGCAATTAAAAAAATCAAAGAGAATCAAAGCTCAATTTAAATGACGCTCGGTGCATCTCAGGAATACTCCCAGAAGTCTTCTCACAGGCAAAATGAAATTCGTCTTTACCCATTCCACCACTTAAAGATGTTTCCTGCTATATCTCCGCAATGATAATAATGAATTAAAAGGAACAGAAGGAAGGACTTCAAAAACTTCGCCAAGACACAAAAATGTTATAGCTCACTTGAGGATAAACCACTCTCTCTTTCACCATAGACTATCAGAAAGGGATAAATGCTACTAGTAAGTGCCCGTTACGTGCAGCTATCGCAAATAATCGCAGGATAATAATTCTGAATAAGATTACTCCCTAACTTTTATGTCCGAGGATTTTAATTCTGAAAATTATATGGGTATTCAATATCAGTAATATTTAATAAAGTGTATAATAAAACATAATACAATCCAACATTTGGAACTACAATCGTGTACTTTCAAAGTTTAGGGTGTCATATTCTAAAATATGGTGGTCTGAAAAAGTTTCAAGAACCACCACCATCCAAAATAGAGTTTTCTGAAAGAGGGTTGTGTAGGATTATAAAAATTCTAAACAACTCTTCTGGACCCCTTTGATGGCGGTTCGTTCCAATGCAACTATCCAAGCTAAGAATTCTTGTCATCATTCTAGTTGCCAAACGAATGCCTAAATCTGAGGTGGTCTTACTGACAACAGCCGAAAGATGTAATCAGTGTTAAGGTAGTAAAGTTGCTCATTACGATGACGCTGCGAACGTAATTTCGAAGAATGCTGTAGAGTAAGTAGCAAGAAAATATTTTAAGATATATTCTCAATAGTTATATTAAGACTGCTTTTTATGCAATCACGCACATTTAAATGTTTTTTCCCCACAAACTTACCCCTGTGTTGTCCGGTCTTATTCCAGCAGTGGTTGGCATCGGTCGTATCGGTCCGGGAGGACTCATGGCCGGGTGCGGAGTTTCAAATGAGGGTATGAAAGACCCCATCATAGCTTTGGCCATTGGATGACCATTGATTTGACACTGAAAAGGAAGAAAGATGACATTTCAGAATGTATATATACAATGCTGCAAAATATATGAAAGCCAATATAACTGTAAACCGAAATACTGAAATGCTACGATATATTAAAAAACATGAGCATGAAAAAAAGCCACGCAGTTAAAAGTAGAGATTCTGTGCAATGTAACAGTTATAAGAACAATAGATAATTAATAAAAAATCATTTTATATATAAAGAAGATTAATAATTTTATTTTCCTTCAGTACCATCAAATTTAAAAATGATACGAAAGGTATGTGATATATAAAACATAAGAAATCAATTAATGGTTGCGCTTCTTGCGTGACTAAGTTAAAGTAACCACCAAAAATCATACAAATTTTATTTAAATCTTGTCCACGAGGTTAGTCCCATCAACTGTGTACGTATATTAGCAATATTGTGCGGAGAAAACGCATTATCTCCTAAGTGGTGCTACTACGAGCCATATGACTTGCTATTAATATTATTCGACTGTTACATTCATGCATATATTCCACAGAACATGTTTTAGTTTTTTTACAAAAATTATTTTTTTCTGCATAGTAACCAATCACTTCATTAATCGCTTTCGTTCGAAAACTATTCTGTTGTAGAAAACACTAAACAAGACTAATATCCTATTCTTTCAGTAGCACAATGAATTGCCAACTTTTTATTTTTAATATTAAGTGAGAATACGGGTTTATTGTAGTACTGAATACATATCTTTCATGTACTTCTAGTATGATTTGAAAGTGTTCCCCCCCCCAATCGCTTAATGTGAATAGCATTGTGCGAATGTTATGAAATAGCTGTGGACAAAACCATCAGATTAAGGAGACAACTTTCGAATTTTGCAACACGGATTTTGAATGTGGTGATAAACTGTGGTCACAATACATTACGGTATTTCGCATTCAGCTGCATTTCAATATTTCTGTTCAAGGAACAATCATGTTACTATTTTTTTTTTTTTTTACTTTCTAGAATGAAATCTAGAATCCATTTTTTAACGGTACACAGAAATAATAAATATAACAGCTATTTCGAAATTTTATTATGTTTCTTTATATTCGAAAATAAGGGGGTAGTTTAAATTCTATCCGATAATCTATGGAATGCAATCAAGTTCTTCTATCATTATATAGTTAATTTCTATTCATTCTGAATGAGTTTTATAGAATAATATATATTCAGGAGTTCTTATAAACGGAATTAATTATATGTAAAAATAACTTTCCCACACCACAGTTTAATCAGTAGTGTTAAAACATTATAAAGCCTATAAATTTCCGAATTTTGTGATGTGAGTTGAGTGAGATACGCGCGACTCGAACAATGGTTAAATGTCATTGAATCTCCTCCTTGGAATACTTTCTATAGCTGTATAGTGTGCTGAGTAAATATCCAGAAGTGAAATTAAAATAAATGGTTGCACAACATTCCATTTCCCAAACAATTCTGATAACCTGCTCTTGGAATGAAATCGCAGATTACTATAGTTTCCATGAAACTGGTATGAAACAAGGATTCATATTTACACACATCCATTCACAGAAGAAAAACCTAAAAAGAGTTTAGCTTTTTTAAAATACTGTCATTTTAATATGATATTTATATATAATATATATAATGAGTAAACTGATTCTATAAGAAGTCCTTGGGATAAAATGTCGGGGCTTAAGTATAAAAATTCGCAAATGAGATTAAATCCCATTTAAGCGTGAATCAGATATTTTAATATCTCATAATTTGAACACAATGACTGTAGTAAATCTAATCAGATATTTAGAAATCTCATTACGTAATAAAAGCACAAGATAACTCTGGTCACGTTATAATAAAGATTGGGGGAATCTTTATTATACAATTAATACTGAACAGATTATACAATTAATTCCATTGTTGAAGCTATATAAAAAATGTATCAGCTACATTTTAAATGTAGCTAGGAATACATCATCATCCTGGTTGATATCAGATAGCCGAAATTACTCATCTTGCAGCGATAAAGATGAATGCTTTACTTATTTCCGAATCCAATATCATGCCGTAATTTTCGCTTTTTAAGTGAAAATTATGAGATAAGAACAGCATTCGTAAATTTTATTAATTTTTTTTCAAACTCAAGTGTACGGATCATTCATGTCAATATTTTTTCTTCGACGATGGCCTAAAAACGGGCTGCTCATTTTATTCGAGAAAATACAATATTTCATCGTGTATATACATCGCCGAACTTGAACGAAACAGAACTGGAAAATTATTAATAACAAGTAAATGTAAATTCAGTGCAGGTAATATACAAATTTTTATTACTTGAAGCTCCTGAATTTGTTGTTGTTGATGGAAAAGCTGTTGTTGCTGCCTTTCAATTAACTCTTGCCGCTCCTTCTCCAATACGCTGTTCCTCTCGTTGCTCTGCTCCATCTACAATGAAAACAAGTGAAACATTTAAGATGCTGAATGTTACGGGAGGGAAAAAAAAATGTTTATCATCAATGTTTTCAACTTATTATCTGGATATTACGTCCACTTATTTCAATGGTCAACTATGACGTTTTAAAATACTGGGATCAGCAGGAGAAACTTTCCAATATGTCATATAACGTGAATGCCAAAACTAAACCGTAACAATTTGCAATTTGCCTTCCTAAAGTTTAAAAATAGCATTATTCCAATACATAACTGTAAGTAGAAGTCCTCTTACAGTATTTAGTGTTTTAGGGCCATTCTTAATAATCATCTTTAATGTGTTCTGTATAAATAGATTACAATGTTTAATTTGTATTCTTTCTGCAGTATGTTTGTTTCTGCATTATATTTATAAATATTCTCCATTCTAAAAACTAAATCTCGTCTTCTGTTACGCTTACATTTTTAATTTAGTATTATATTGTGTATTACGCCTGAAATCGTCATTCTTACCCGTACGGATTTCGCATTGTGTGCATTTGAACCTTTATAATTAACATCATACTAATCAGTTTCCATGGGGGTTGGACTTCGTGTTCGAGAACTCCGGTGGTGCACTATTCTACTATAACTTTCTGAAGTTTTGCACAGCTCTCGTTTCCCGAGGTACTGCTTTAACATTCTCCCAAACTGCATCACTGAAGTTCATCAGTGGACTGGAGTTTAAAACTGGACTGAAAGCGAAGATTTCCGCTTTAATTTTTCCCATAGAAAGAAATCGCAGACTGATTAAGTCTTCTGAGAGCCCCAGAACTCCTTGATCGAAAGCTTAGCTTCACCGCTGATGTCGTCTAGCGTCACTATATTACCATTGCACTGATAACAACGAATGGTAATACTACGTGCTCTGAACGCGAAATGAAGTGTATGTTACAGTTCTACTGTCGCTTCGATTTCCTTTTTTATGTCCAGGGGGTATTTCTGACGGACCCCAAAGTTTTATCACGACTGCGCAAGAAACCTGCACACATCAAGTATTCGAATATCATATTTCTTATATATAAATATGAAAGCTGTATTAGACCTCTTTTCTTTTGAAACTGATATATTGTTATCTGAATTTTGTCCATTCTTAAGAAACTTTAAATTTTCGTCATAACTTAAGGTCTCTATAAGGTTTTTTGACTTACACTTCTGTGGACATCATTTGTTAAATGTACACGGTACATATTTTTTAAAAAACTGAGAAAATGTAAAAGGAAAAATACGTTTAAGGGTGAAAATGAGGCAATCATTGCTACTTTAATCAACAGATGCACGCTGGGACTGTACTAAGTAGCATTTTGTAGTCGAAATTAATAACAGCAATCTACTTATCTACATAAATGCAACAAAAAAATTTGCTTTTCAATCCAGTGGCAGAAATATTTATTTAAGAAAGTAATTTTTTAATAAAATTTTTGAAACAAAAGTTATGTCACAAAAATAAAAAATACAACAAATTTCATAAAATGAGGAAAGGAATGGAATCATTTTCTTTGTTAATATCATCAATAAAACGTCCAGTTCAATTTAGGAGGTTTTTTAAATTATCATAGAATATATAACATAATTCATTTTAAGTATTTATTTAGCAAACCTTTCACTGTTATCAGTGAACTTTATTTAATATATTTTTTTGACAAATTAGTCATGACATCTAAAAAGAAAAAGAAAAAAAAAAAAAAAAAAATCAGTCTCTTCTTTCGATTTAATACTCCTGTCTAGGGAAATAAATTGCTATTGGAAATAAATTATCTTTTAGTGGTTTGAACTTCCCTATCTCATGACCTATAATCCAGAAGGAGAAGAATGAGAAAATTCGCTTCTCTTCTTAATAACTAGAAGGATTATCTAATAAAAGTCACGAAATTTTGAGTGTACGTATGTAGATTAATGAAATCTCAAAAAGTTTCTAATTAAATAAGAAAAGGTTGATGAATTTTAAACTTATCGAATTCATGGTGATTAACATGAGGTGCGATTAATTTCATAATATACTTCCGCAGTCTCATCGCATCCCACAAGCAAAATATTTTATTACCATATATATATATATATATATATATAATTTATTTTGAGAATTATCATCACAAAGAGATCTCTGCTAAATCTTAATTACAGATTCTTATTAATTCTTTTTAGATAGGTGCAGTGGCACTGAATTCCATGTTACGTTTTCACAGGTTCTGCACTTATGTTTTTGTTACACTATTTTATAACATTTTATCATATAAAACCAATAATCATATTTAGCATTTACAATATTAATTTTAAGTCACATGAATATTTTAGATAGGCAAGCAGAAATGGGAATTTTGTAATTTTTTATGAATAAAGTTGTTTAAATTGTTATAATATTGCTTTATAAATATAAAATTGTTTTTTAATTCGCAACGGTACAGAAATCTTAACAGTTTACTAGTTCAAACGTACGCAAACTGCAAAAAGAGCCGCTATATTCGAGGTTGTAAGAAGAGCGGCACTCTACATACTTTTTTATTTTCTTATTTATTTATTTTTTTGTCACAAACTCGCACTTTAATTATTCATTTAAGAACATGTTCATTGCATTCCAACTGAAAATTTGATCATACAAAATATGCGTGTCAAATTCCGACCCTAGTCTTTTCATATTTACACTGCAGTTTTACACTTTTGATATCACATTAAATGTGAACTAATAACACTTGCTAATTTTTTTGTTCCTCGTAATTTATTTTCTACGATTCTTATTCAGTTCCACGCAAATGCAATCCAATAAGCTGCTGAGAAAATATTTTTCACGTATCTGTCCACATTGTTTTAATAGGATACTTGAAACGTCAGTTCCGGGAAAACATTAAACGTTGTGTAGCTTTGTTGCAAGAATGCCCATTCTGATTCTCGATTATTTCTTTTGGACCCCAGGGTCGAGATGATAAGAACTCGATAATAAGATTCTACGAAACGTTTAAAAAAAAGTCTTAAACAAGAAAATATACAGATGGTCAAGAAAGCGAGTGGGAGTCTAAAAGATAAGTTCCTATAATCCTACCATCATTATCTCTAGAATAATAGACCCCTCTCTCTCTGTTCTCTTCGAAGGAGAATTCTTTATCGTTTTACCACTGTATGCTCTTTGTCTGTCATCAGGATGGATGTAAACAATGAGTCGCGTCTCTTCCCGACACCACAGCCACTTGCCAGTGACCCCGCGACCTTGTGAGAAGTTTGGAGGGGAAGAAATAATTTCTGCGGGTCGTTTTGCGCAGCAGCGGCATAATTTAATTACGCGGTTTGCGGAGATGTTTATGACTTCGATGACTGGGTTGCCATTGCTATTGTTACATGAGTGTAGCCTTCTTTTTTCAAAACCTTTTTCAGGACTCGTTTCCGTTGACAGACGTAATGAACAGCAATGCTTCAGATTTTTATGTTTAACAAGAGCAACTGGTATGCAATCCTGTGTTTCTATCTATGTGCGCGTTATAAGTCGCTGGTTTGACGCACTGGCCATGTGGATACAACTAAAAACTACGATGGTTCCATTGTTGGAGGAGCAGGTTATAATGGGATTAGCATTTTCAAGCTTTTCTCTGACGTCAGAATAAGAATCATTTCTTTTTTTGCAAAATGTCCTCCACGAAATTTACCTTAAACACTAACTTTAGATATAACAGGTAAAATGTGAATTTCAGCTTTCATCTTTTCTGACAAAACATTGTAAAAAAATACTCATGTACAGCAAAACTTCCTTACAAATTATCAACATGCAAGAAGCATTGTTTTTTTATTTGTCAACTATAAGTATGATGCTATTATTCAGGGATAAATCACCCTTCCTTTGTGACTTCTAGAAGGAAAACAGTAGCGAAGCTAGGGGGGAGCGATCTGACCCGGGGAGACATTTTTAGCAGCGGCATTTTTTGTATGAAATAAATTTTTTAAAGAGTTCACTTCAGGAGGGTCATCGAGTGAAGAAAAACTAGATGCTAAATTGCCATAGGGAATTAAATTGAGAAGAAAAGAGTTTATACTATAGGTAAAGAATTTAGAGAAATCATGTCGTGATTTCAATAGCTACATACTTCTGTTATATTTTTTTTGCTTCGTCAAAAGCTTTTGATTGCAATTTAAGAAATGAAGCGTTTGAGAATTTTATTTCCGTTACTGCTAGGGAAATCGAAACAGGAACGTCGAAATGCAGTCCTTTTAAATTTTGGAGGTTTATTCTAAAAGCTCCTGAAAAAAAGTTCTAAATACTGTAGCACTAGTGTGAACCTTCCTCTGAATTTCTATAAGTGTTGCTAATTTTAAGAAGCTTTTTCTGAATGCATATCATTTAAGAATTACAAGTGTATATTTTGCATTTAATAAATTTTTCTCTACTGTTCGCGTAACAGCAACTGGAGCAATCAAATTAATCTCTATAATATCATCGGTGGTTTTGCGAACAAAGAAAAATAATAGTAATAATAATAATAATATCATTTTAAAATCTTGGAGTTAAAGCCGCCCTCCCCCCCCAAAAAAATAACCGTAGAGTTTGAATTTATTTCTTTGTATTTCGTCAGCTCCGCGAGCAAAAGTTCTAATTACGCCACTTAAAGACGCTAAAATGATAATAATATCAAAAGTTAAAATCTTCGTTTGATAACAAATTAAACATACTGTAAATATAGGCTCAGACGGCTAAAGGATTGCTTCAGCATCATTGCTATGGCAATGCACGTTTGAAAATCAACAATTGTCTTAAGTTAGTTGACTCCCATGTTAATTCCCCAAGCGCAGGTTTAACTACTAAAGACATCTCGAATTCTTTTTTTTTTTTTTTTTTTTTTTTTTTTCCGGGGAGGGGGGGGGGGGAAAAACTAAATATCAGGAAATCGAAAAATATCTTACATATCAGCGATTGACTAATAAAAATTTTCGAAACAATAATTTAATAAATGAAGATCCCACCCCCATAAATATACAATTATACGTTGCATAAA